TGAGATCTCGACGCCAGTCTAGTGCTGCGCTTAAATTCAAACACTCTAGGTACCATAGTGAAGAGCTCATCTGAACAATTACCATGAAAGTCTTTATAAAAAAGACATAGAGAGGCAACCTTACGGCGTTGTGAAAGTGAGTGTTGCCGAGCCGCCAGATTAGGGCCAATAATATTGCTGAGTTCAATTAACTTTATTTATCTTAGAAAAGTAATTAAAAAATCTGTTTGATAAGAAATTAAGGAAAAAAACAAATCAGTTTTTAAAAGAAAGTCTTGAATATTTCAAGAAATCAAATCAGAGAAGGAAATCCATGTGGCGCTAATCTTCCAAGGCATGTCTTGAAAAACGGTATTCAAAGTTAATATTTTCCATCTGGGTTCAAACGCTGACTTCGTTACCGGCAAAAATGTATCGAATTGCTATATATAACCAGTAAAAATAATCCAAGTATATATTTGAATTGCTTTGATATTTTTTAAAATAAAAAAAATGACTACAGATTTTGTTTTCGGAATTTACAAAAGATAAATAAATACTTTTTTCTAACTTTCAAAAGTGACTTTTTCGTTGTTGTCTTTTCATTTTAATGAACTAGATTAGAAAAGAAATATTGTAAATTTGTAAATCAAAATTATTCGCATATTTCCATGTAATAAAATTTAAAAAACTATTACATTTATTTTTTTGATAGCTTAAATGACATAAACGTAGCAATATTTTTAATAAGTAAATAAATATAAATGCCATACAAATAATAATAATAATAATAATAATAATAATAATAATAATAATCTCAAGTTAAGACACAGCTTTCTACATTCAGTCGAACCACTCCTAGTCAGCTTTTGTCCCTGTGGAGCAACCATCTTAACGTGGAACACAGGCTCTCTATATCAGTTCAACAAATCCCCCCACCAGGCACCAGTGATGCCTGGCCCATCTGGTTCTGCCTATTTCACTTCCGAAAAGCTGTTGGTCGCTGTAGAGCCAACCTTCAGATATGGGTATATGCCACCAATGATGACCCCAACTGTCAATGCGGGCACTTACAAACTATGCAGCATCTTCTGGTTTGTCCATATCTTAATGATTCATGCACACTTAACGACCTTGAAACCTTAATATCGCAGGTAAAGCTCTGTGGTCAACACTGGATCGGTGTAATGTATCGTCTAAATAATAATAATAATAATAATAATTAGAGATACAAAAAAAATGTTCTCACGAGTACTGCCCACACCTTACGAAGGGCGTTATCTATGTAATTTTTTTATGTCAGTAGAAAATGGCATCATGACATTTCTAAGCATATGTGTACACACTAGTAATCAAAGGAAACAATAATATTATCAATGATAATAATAATAATAATAATAATAATAATAATTATTATTATTATTATTATTATTATTATTATTTCTGCTATGGACACACACTACTACCAAGTCTGCGGAAAGACCTAAGGCAGGTCGTGGTGTGTTGTTATGATTTTTTTTCCTTTTTTTTTTTTTTTTTTTTTTTTTTATCTCCGATGAAGTTGCTAACATAAACAAAGTTCTCCTTAGTGTGTGTGCTGTACTTAATAAGACAATTTTTCTGTATGTCTCTTAAGCTGGGGTTTCCAGGATTCTTTCAATGTTTGTTTTTTGTTCCATTTTTTATAATTCAAGTGCAACCTATTACCACTGGTATTATTCTTGTTTCAAATTTCCACATTTTTTTCTATTTCAATTTCCAGGTCTTTTTTGTATTTTGATAGTTTTTTCAAATTTTTTGCTATGCTGGACAAGCCATATCAATTAGTAAAACAATAATGTCCGGCCTATTTGCAATTTTTCTGTCTGTGTGGATGGTATAATCCCATAGAATTTCATCTTCTATTTCTGTAAACCGCGCTGGCCGATGTTCATACAAGTGTTTGTTACACATTTTCCAAAGTGTTTTGCATTCCAATTATCGTGACGATTTTTTATATTCATTTGGGGCAAGTATAGAACATCCTGAGATTAGATGGTCTATTTTGTCCACAGAACCTGCATTTTTGGATCCACATTATTATGATGATATTTGCCTGAAAAATTCCTAGTGAAAAGACTCTGGTCTTGCGCTGCAATAAAAGCCTAATTTAATCCAGATGCTCGTAACCATCGATGATATTAACTTATTGGGTTTATTTGCACTTATTATTATTATTATTATTATTATTATTATTATTATTATTTTTCTGCCAGCGGCTAACCACTGATATTCGTCATTTTTATCGTGACCAGATTTAAACCGAACGAAACAAATTTTATTTGAGCTTTTGATATGAGGAATTATTGTTATTTACATTATGTAAATTCTGCTTATTACCTATTGGATTAAGTTGTAGGCTTGTGTATTTCGTGGTATAGTAATTTTTGGTTCAGTTCCCAGACCGGATAATTAAAACTAAGTCGAATTGCGACTAGCAATAAATAAACATTCCTGAAAGGAGCGAGTCGAGTAAAATTTACCTCCGGAGATTAAATAAAGACTACACTTCGAAATTCTCTGATGGTTACAGTTCGAATTTTTCTGATGGTTACTGAGATTGTAAGACAACTGAAGAAAGCTGGAGATTCCAACGGCAGATATTTTGTGATAATAATAATAATAATAAAATGAGTGCATCAATCCAACTACAAATTACTAATGAAACAACTACAATTCTTAGATCAAACCTAAATTTTTGCCTAAGACTTTTTCGTTTAAAATATTCAAATTACATACAAATACATAAATAATCGATCGGATAACATGAACTTATATAGATATACAAAAAAATGTATTTAGATGAGGAACCCAGCACTTGCAAAACTGAACAGTGGTTATCGTACATGCGCAGATTTCTCAAGAATCTGAAACATCTGCCCAGCTGTAGCTGCAATCAGAAGCCGTTCTGACTAGAATCGAAACCGTGACCTTTGCGCTTGTTGGTTAGAATTTGCCTCGAGTGAACGCGAAAAGGCATTTGCCTGCACCCTCTTGCCCCTTACTCAAGAAATGGATAAGATTTCAGAATAAACAGATCTGCACTGTGTTACCTTCGTGGAAGGGGTCGGGATTATTCTGAGTGGGGTGATGGTTGTGATAGTAAGTAGTATGCTCTTATAAATTGGCGGCTTGGAAGTTTAGTGAAAGGGGGAGGTGCAGATGCGACTCTGAGGAGAATGTGGCAAGCAGGTGCTTGTCTGAAATAAGTATCTCAATGTTGGTTTATTTGTTTAATTTTTATACTGCTCTTGGGTTTCTGGCGTTTGTAAATCCCCAACGCCTTTTGTCTAAGCTTGGGTAAATAGGAAAAAGAAATGATTTCTTATTTGAGACATAGAGAAGCTGAAAGACGCAATAATATAGATAATAGAGTAATTAGGAAAATGAAAGAAATTAGAGAAGTGAAGGATTTCAAGATGGAGAAAGACACAGAGACAGAGACAGGCGAAACAAGGAAGAGAAGAGAAGAAGAAAAAGAAGCGAACGGAATGGTAAAAGAGAAAGAAAATACAGGAGAAGAAGAAGAAGAAGGAGGGTGGGAGGGGGAGTAAATAAGAAATTAACCAAAAGAATAAATGAATAAAATAAACAAAATAAAATATATAATAAAATAAAATTATAAAAATAACAAATATCTGCAAAATATTGAAATAATAATAATAATAATAATAATAAATAAATAAATAAACAAAAATAGATTAGAATTGAGAAATCAAGAGAACAAGAAAGAAAAAAGTAAGATAATTAAGAAAAAGAAAGAAGCGTGTGGTCTTAGGGTCACTGCGCAAGTGAGCGCCTGACCATTCCCTCCATATAATTGTCCTTCTTTCCATAAATATCGCAAATTTTAATCATAAATAATATGTGTATATATATATATTTATATATATATATATATATATATACACGCACACACACATACACACTTTAAAAATCAAGAGCTCAGCTTAATCCTCTACCTTGGTTTCAACCTTACATTTAAAATACCGTTGCTTTTCTTCTTCTTCTTCTTCTTCTTCTTATCTACCTTCTTCATTTGTATTAAACCCAACTTCATTCGTTTGTTTATTTATTCTTGAAAATAACGATCTAGCGTTCTTATTTAAAAAAAGAAAAAATGAGGTCATTTGATAAAAATAACCCGAGAATACCGTAAGGTTGAAACCAAGTTAACGGATTCAACTGACTTCCTGATTTTTAAAGTTAAAAGCTCTACATGTTATTTTTACTTTCATTTTATTTTTTCACACGTGTATTGAGCACTATCTAATACTACTGTTTCCTGGTCTGATGCAACTATGATCACGAAGCTTATTATGCATTTTATATATGCCTGTAAGGTAAATGAGGCTAAAAGCGCTAAAATTTTAAGGGGACTTTATCCTGTAATCGTTTTTTTTATTTATTTATTATTATTTAACATTTGATAAGTCACTACAAGAAGAGAAAGTCCCTCTGGCCCAAAGTGAACTAATAAATTAGTTTTAAAAAAGGTCCGCAGCTTTTCAGGTTACCGAAATTCAGAGGAATTCCCAAACTTTTGATATAAAGTGTATATATATATATATATGGGAACATTGATGGATATTTATCTCTTACTCATTTTTTTGACTCTCTATGTCTCTTGCTATATATATATATATATATATATATATATATATATATATATATATATATGTGTGTGTGTGTGTGTGTGTGTGTGTGTGTGTGTGTGTGTGTGTGTGTGTGCATGTTTCATTAAAAACGACAGACAAGGTACTACGGTTAAGCTTTTTATTTAAATTTTCTTGTGTTCGAACAAGAGCTTTTTTTCTGGACAAAGAGTGTAAGAACTGTCCAAATGTTTCATATTTCCGAGCGCTTTCGGCTATACCTTTAGCCATTATCAAGAATGATTTGATTTTTCAGCTTAATTGAGTGTGTGCGTTCTGTGTATGTCTTAGTGTGTAGTAGGGATGAAGAGAGAGGTGAAACGTTGGTTATGTTGAAAGAGAAGTGAATGAGGTAGAGAGATTATGAGACCAGAGAAGGTGAGTAAGAGAAGAAGTAGAGTGCGTGAAAAGGAGAAAGAAAGAGTCATAAATAGAGAGAGTGTGAATGTACTGGGGGTGGGGAGAAGAAACAGAAACACGGAGAAAATAAGAGAAGGAAAAAGATGAAGGACAGAAGAATAGACACAGAAAAGTAAAGAATGCCAAAAGGGAAAAGTTGGAGTTATTCAAAATAAACGTGGGAATAAAGACAATGGGAGTTTAAAATACGAATAATGTTATTTATCATGTCGCTAAAATTAACGACAATTCTGAATGCAAAAAAATAAGGAAAACAATTCGGAAATAATTTGAAAATAGATGGTCCCATGGTGACTGCAATGATTACGTATTATTCACCAGTAGCATAGGTCTGCATTCGAATCAAACTAATGCTGATTTTTCCACGAAGAAAAGCGTTTTATTTCTATTCTATATCTCGCTTTTGGCTTGTGCCTTGCTAAACTCTGCTCGATGTATAAGTATAAATGAAGAAAAAAGACTGAGAAAACCAGAGCAGGAATGAAAAAAATAAGTTATATCTGGTATGTTCAATGTTATTACGTGGCATACGAACTCCCGCTTGTCATCACAGCTAAACGTGATTTTACATGACTGAGAAAATTTAAGCGCAAAATATGTGAATATGTTTTACGTTCCGTTTTAATTAATATCAGCGGTAGTCAAGCTGCAACGAAAAATATTTGTTTGACTGTCGCGTCATGTTAATTTAAAAGACAATGAATTGGAAAAAAAATTCCACGAATACAAGGCGTCAGTACACAAAAGAAATTAGTCTTATCAATACAAAAAATGCTCCGAAAGATATTAATTCAAAATCAGTTAAAATGGAGTCTAGAAAAGAATTAAATTCATTTTTCATAAGTATATTAAGAAAAATATATAAATGAACATGCAAATATACTGCTTCTCTTACAATCATCCACACACATGCATATATACAAAAAAGAGATAGATAGATAGATAGATAGATAGATAGATAGATAGATAGATAGATAAGAAAAGAGTGATATCGAACGATAGACAGACTATATATATATATATATATATATATATATATATATATATATATATATATATGTGTGTGTGTGTGTGTGTGTGTGTGTGTGTGTGTGTGTACAATAGATCAGTTAGTTAATAAAACAAGGACAAACGAAACAGTACCAAAATAATCAGTACGAAAAACAATTATTAAATGTTAATTATTAAATATGCCAGAAAATGAAGCACGGAAAAAAAAGATTTTAAGTTCGGAATTTTCGGACACGCCTGTGTTCTTCATCAACAGAGCGGGAAATAAACAGAGAAATGGGAATTACTCACCGACAGTTATTTTGTAGACGGTGTGTTTTCTGGTGGAAATCATATTATTAGCAAAACCCGATCTCTGTTTGATTCCTCGCTGTGCTATACATTTTATGAAAATAAACTTAAATTTAAAATTTTGATCGGTGTAAAAGCTTTAGGCCGGTCTATTATTAGTAGTAGGGAGTGTGGGGGAGCTAGACATGAACTCTTTTAGCTACTTTGTCCATATTTCTGAGAGGAGGTATTTAATTATTTACAACGGCCGAAATGTCGAGAATATAACAATAAAGATAAAGACAACAGTCCGAAGAATGTAATTAATGTAAATGTTTTAGATATTTACATTGTTCAGACTGTTTATCTCATCTTGTCATATACACGACGTTTCGGCCGTTGTATTCTCCGGCTTTCTCTAGGTGATATTACTTAGAATTTCAACCCCAACATTTTATTTAGTCCACAGGGGTAGATTGTTCTTAATTTCAGGTGTCATGTCTATTTGGATATCTCAGTTTCAATTAATTAATTCCACTTGGTAACTCAACTCTCCAAATTTTATTCCTTCTGCTGTGGTCACGTGTTGAATTCACAACACTTTGGGTCAAGTCATTTTTGGATCATTCAACCAATGCTTCTATCCACTGGGCCATGTGCCCCCAATATGTTACGTTGTTGCTTGACTACCGCCCACATTAATTAAGACGAAACGTGAAAGTCAAAATATTCCTCTAGATGTCGCTTCTATTTTTGCGCTTGGGGACACATGGTCCAGTGGATAAAAGCGTAGGTTGAGTGAATTTTCTTTTTTAAAATATTACTCATTTTTTCTATATATATATATATATATACTGGTATGTGTGGGCACTTCGACGTGTTTTAACGGTTAGGAAGCCTGTCTCGCTAGATCAGTTACGACTAAATAGTGATTCGGTCCTCGCTGGGTGGCCATAGATCTGGCCTTATGCTTAGAAGTCACAATAGAGATGCGAGTCTGCATATGCGTTAATAAACATGCAAATTTTGAAGGAAACAACCATTTTTAAAAGGAAAATGTTTCATTTTTATTGATAAAATTTAAAAATGCATAATAAAAATATATATCTTATTTTAAGAAGTCTTGTTACTTTTTTCTTCAGCAAATTTTTAGGTTTATAATTTTTAAAAAGTATCTCTCTCTCTCTCTCTCTCTCTCTCTCTCTCTCTCTCTCTCTCTCTCTATATATATATATATATATATATATATATAGGTGTGTGTGTGAACAGCATTCTTTTTATCTCTCCACTACCTGTGGTTTGGCCAAATAAAATCTAAATCATTCCCTTTCTCTCCACCTTAAAGTCATACAATTGAACAGGCTTTTATGTCAAGCTTATTCGTTTTATTATATTTTTACATTTTTCTAAAAGCATTTTAACCAGGTTATCCTTCCTATTTGGACCATGCAGATGCGACAGCTTTTACAAGTACGGTAAAGTAGTGACTACCTGTCGATATATGAATCTTTGATGCACCACTTTTTCAAGTAAGAAACTAGGGCCTTATTTGAATATCACTTTCCGAAATCCTAGATTTTACTTGACTAGTGTGGCTGTTGGACAGTAATGATTGAAACGCAACGACCTCGACCACCAACCAGGCCAACCAAGAGCAGCTGTATTTTATGCCACGGGCGCGAATTTATTTCACTGACACATTCGGAATTATTTATCAACTACATCCTACTGTGTTATGAATTCACTTCATTTTACTCTGTTATATTTTCTTCTATTTTTTTTCTCTCTAACCTTTTTTTTCATTTGGATTTATTCTGCATGTCAACGAAAGAAAATAAATTTCGGTCTCAACAATATCGGGCGGGCTTGTTATGTCAGCGAGGGTCAAGCTTGTGGTTTATGTTGTTTGGACATGATATAATTCCTTATAAACTATACGCCATATTGTTTATATTCACTTCTTTACCAAACTGTCATCTAAAAAGTTTTGACATTGTCTAATCAAAAATCGCAAATGTCGATTTTTTTTTTCTTTCGGATTTGCATTCAGGTCTATCTATATTTAAAAAAAAATAAATTTATGATTATTTTTCTCTTACAAATCTATCGAGAAAACGAAAAGAAGTGGCAAAGTCTAGTTAATAAAAATATGTCTGTCACGCGATTGTTTTATATTCGTTGATTTTCCCCACCCTCGTTCTCATATTGTACAAGCCATCAGAAAGAAATGCACATACATATAAGCATCTATCTATCTATATATACACACACACACACACACACACACACACACATATATATATATATATATATATATATATATATATATATATATATATATATAAAAAGTGGACATTGAAGTTAAGACTCAGGCGAGATGAATCCGTTTAGTATGACACAGACTGTCGCTTCTGGGTCTTGATTCCAATGTCCATTTTTATATTTACATACAGCCCATAAATGCAGCATACCATAACACGATATTTTGTCATATATATATATATATATATATATATATATATATATATATATATATATATATATATATATATATGTGTGTGTGTGTGTGTGTGTGTGTGTGTGTGTGTGTGCGCGCGTGTCTGTGTGCGCGCGTGTGTGTGTGTGTTGTTTCTCTACGGCAACACAATTCTTAGTTTCACGTACATGGATCTCAGTGTTGTGTTACCGGTGACGATAAAATGTATATTTATTATTTATATAAATTTACCTGAGTTAATTAACATCGAGAACAATTTTATTAGCACCATCACACAATGTACCACGTATATTATTATTATTATTGTCATTATTATTATACTGCCGTGTTACTTACATTGTACTCTCCTTGGATTAATGCTCTCCTTGAAATTATCCATATCAATTACCAATTAGTATTATATATATATATATATATATATATATATATATATATATATATATCAGTCAGTTTATATTATAAATATCATAACGAAATAATTTATCCAAAGAATTAAATACCTATGTTGATGTGATTTATGGTGAAATCACTTCGCTAACGGGATTTAATGAGACATTAACTTACTATCAATTCCTTGAATAATAAGATACTTATATTGGAGTTGTTGCTAGATGGAAGACACATGCCAAGTCCTTTCGAAAATATCAAATTGTCTTCTTCAAGGCGCAATTTTCCCATACATAGTAAAACCATAAGACGAAATATGTGTGAACGGAAAAATGTTTTTTTTCTTTTCTTTTCTTTTTTCAATTATGCTATTTATTGACATTTAAATATATATTTTGGAGCGTGCAAGACCTGGACGCTAGAGTTCTTGTTCAAATCGATCAAATGAGAATTTCTTTAAAATCTGAAAAGTTATAAATCCACGACATTTTCTTGTTATATTTATTTTTCAGTTAAAGTAAAATATACTTAAGTATGATCCAATTGGTAGAGTAAAAATATCTTAATATTTTTCCACAGAATTTAAAATTCTGATTATTATTGTGCTGTGGATCTGATGTAAATATATTAGAGTGCACAGCCTATATTTTATATCATTATTCAAGGAATTGATAATAATTAATATATCATTAAGTCTTGTTAGCGAAGTGATTTCGCCATTAACCAGATTAACATTTCTATTTAATTCTTTGTATAAATTGTTTCTTTATTATATATATATATATATATATATATATATATATATATATATATAGTATGAAGAGAAATTATGATTAACTTTTCTGTCTGTTTATCGCAATTATTTTCTTAATTGATATAGCGATTTTCAAGTAAGCGACCTTTAACCTAATCTTTCATTTTTTTGTCGAGAAAACAACGAAGTTTCTAGTTTTAAGCTGTCACATAAAACATGACATCATCATTTATATGTGATTGTATAAATACGATCGTTCTAAGTAAGACAATACACTACATCCGACAGCAAAGCCACTGATCGGTGGAGGAGAGTGGAACCACCTCTTAATTGTTTCCCCTAACCCAGGCTAGTAGCACTTTTAAGGATACCAACTATGCGCAAATAGATAACCCCAAAATTGGGGTCAAAACACTGAAAGTATAAAAATACATTTTTATAGTAAAAATACTAGCAATATATTTTTGTAAATGAAATTACTAATGTCCCCGTGAAAATTAATTTCGGCATAACATGATGCATAATGTGCTGAAATACTTCTAAACAAACAAACAAACAAACAAAAAACGGTGAAATGATGGCTCGGATTGAAGAAGCGGAGAGCCGGGTTCGAATTCCAGTCGGATCCATTACATTCACTTACGTGCTTATACCCTTTGGAAAGATATGAATCCTCAACTTCTCCCACCAACTATGGCTAAATAACAGGACAGTCTGGGTTCTATAGCCTTGCATGGCAACTGGTCTACCGCAGAAAGAAATGTCAGGAAAAATCTGCCTCGTCAGTTATGTATCGAAAAGACACATGATCGCCTAAGCGTGTATCACGCATAGCACATAACTGACTGACTATAAATATGTATGGATATACATTGTTTCTTTGCCTACATATATGTAACTAATTATATATATATATATATGGTTGCTCGTTTCCAAAAGCACCCATCTTCTAATGTGGCTAGCTAAGCATTGTTACAGGTATATTTGTGTTTCTTCGGTTTTCAGTGAACTTTTGCCTCATACTAAAACTATGCTAAGCAAATTTTTATTACAGTTTCTGAGTGAGACCGCATAATCTGATGTGACCA